CACCTGGGGACTGCCCCAAGTGTGCACAAACATCTCCCTCCCCCCCAGGTGCCCCCGATGTGCGGAAATAAGTATCCGCACGCAGGGGGTGACTTTGGTATTAGATATGTAGATTTTCCGTACATTTAAGAATTACATTAGTGGATGCTTACAGTCATATGCTCATTAATTAGTTAGTTCCGGTCATATGTTTGTCAGTGTGCCTTTAAGGTTTTGGACTACCGCAACATTTTTTCGGGATAGTTGTCATCAGTACTCTGGAACATACTTCTGCTTGCTGTTCCTTTGAAACAGAATTATAGCACTACCACTTTGTCTACATGTCTTGCCTGTAGGATTTTGTCAAATATTTTAATATGGATATATATATGTTAAGAACACAGGAAGAGCCCAGCTGGATCAGTCCAGTGGTCTGTCCAAATCCTACTTCACACAGTGGCACACTAGTTGCCCTGGAAGGCCACCAAACATGATATAGACTCTGCCTTGTTCAGAGATATTGGAAAGCAAACATCATTAGTAGCCTATTAAAAACAATGTTCTAACTTCTATACATACTTATTTATGTGGTATGTCATTAAGAGAAAACAGGTGATACCATGAGATGGTTTCACAGCAGATTCACTGTGGCTAGGCCATTTACATTTATTACATCAGTAATTAGAATTTCAACAGTCAATCCGTATGCAAAAGAACCTCCTCAGGAAAGTTCCTCCATTAGCCTGTCACAGCCTGAGGAACTCACAAGTTAATGACTCAGCCCTTCCCCACCTTCCTGAGTAGATATAAATTACCTGCCTACCATTTTCTTCTCACCTTGACACAGAGAGTACTCCATCTTTCTATGTTATACCTCTGAGGATGCCAGTCACAGCTGCTGGCGAAAAATCAGGTCCTACAATGCCAAGACCACGGCCATACAGCCTGGAAATTCTACAACAACTAATACCTCAGTAATTATTTATGAGCCCTTCAGGGTGGGAAAGAATTATTGTTCCTATCTTTTTTGTTTGTTTGTTTGTTTGTTTTACACTATGCACCCTCTCCCCAGAAGGTACTCAGAGCAACTTACAACATGTAAAAATACTACATTTAAAATACAATAAATACAAATAAAATATAGATAAAAACAATAAATGGAATAATAAAACCGATTAACCCTCTGTGAAAAAGAGGATTCGAGCGGGATATAAAGTTGAAGGTTTGATTGATTGATTGATTTGATAAGGACACAAGAAGGACCCTGCTGGGTCACATCAGTGGTGCATCTAGTCCAGCATTCTCCTACAGTGGCCACCTGGAGGGCCAACAAACAGGCCATCAAGGCCAAGGCCTTCCCTTGATGCTGCCTCCCAGCACTAGTGTTCAGAGGTCTGATGCCTCTGAAGATGGATATTACCTTTAGCCACTGATTGACCTCTCCTCCATGGATTTGTCTAATTTATTTATTTATTTTATTTATTTGTTTGTTAGATTTATACCCCGCCCTCCCCAGCAGGCTCAGGGCGGTTACAACAAAGGCAATTGCCATAACAACAGTTAAAACATTATAAAAACAATCATTACACAGTAAAGACAATCATTAAGTAAAGTGCGGTGCTCTTGATGTTAAAATTTAAAATAATCCCCCTTTAAATCATCTGTGTGAGTGGTCATCACTGCATCCACTCACAGTGAAACCTACAATTTAACCACTCATTATTGAAGTATTTCCTTTTATCTGTCCTCCTGAATCTATTACTCATCCACTTCATTGGGTGCCCATGAGTGCTGGTATTATGGGAGAGTGAGAAAAAAAACCCTACTGTCAACTTTCTGAACCCCATGATGGTTATATTACAAGCAAATGATATGGCTGGTGGATTCTTTTGCCCTGTTTACTTATGGCTGATGCATTACTTGTTTATTGTGTAGATATGATATTATTGTTTTCTAAAGCAATGCATTGTATTTTTTTCCAGGATTAAATTAAATAAGTTTTTTTTTATATAGTCCATAGGCTGCCTTATTGTTCTTACAATATATAATCTTCCCTGTGGTTTTATTTTCCTCTGCTTTTGCTGGGCATCCACTTCATTAAGAATGGGAAAATTGAAGCCCATGGACCAAATTTGTTTCCACGTGGCTTCCCTATTAATTAGGTTCTACCCTAGTTCATGGCAAGTTTTTATAGATGATGTCATGCAGAGCTGCATTCAGTGTGTGGAAAGGTATAACTTCTCCAATATTTAGCATAAAGTATTCTTACTGTTGTAATTGCATGTAATATAAGATATGAATCGTATTTTTTACAATTTCCAGGTAAAATATTCAATAAAAAATTTCTGGAACAAAAGGTACAGAACATTTTAGCATGATATGGCTGCTGTTGAAGATTATTCAGAAGTTTCAATTGTGTAGAATGTAGCAGACTGCCTGCTGACTGGGACTAATTGTTATATGCTTTTTTGCCTACATTGGAACAGCTGCACTAGCTTCAGTTTGCTTTAGATCCCAATGCAAGATGCTGATACTTTCCTTTCAAGCCCTTTATAATAGAGACTTGTATAACTGAAGGACATCTTGATTGCATTTTTACAGGTGGATTCTTTTGCCCTGTTTACTTATGGCTGATGCATTACTTGTTTATTGTGTAGATATGATATTATTGTTTTCTAAAGCAATGCATTGTATTTTTTTCCAGGATTAAATTAAATAAGTTTTTTTTTATATAGTCCATAGGCTGCCTTATTGTTCTTACAATATATAATCTTCCCTGTGGTTTTATTTTCCTCTGCTTTTGCTGGGCATCCACTTCATTAAGAATGGGAAAATTGAAGCCCATGGACCAAATTTGTTTCCACGTGGCTTCCCTATTAATTAGGTTCTACCCTAGTTCATGGCAAGTTTTTATAGATGATGTCATGCAGAGCTGCATTCAGTGTGTGGAAAGGTATAACTTCTTCCTGGTACATGCTAGGTTTGTTTCTATTTCGGGTTTTGTTCGTGATGTGGTCCATGGGGTCACAAAGAGGCAGACTTGTCTGTGCGACTGAACAACAACAAAGAGCACAATGATAGGGGTTCTCCCCCCCCCTTAGACTATATGATTTAGCCATATTAATATCTGGCTCTGTTTCCTTCCCTGCAGGCTATTTGAAGATGCTGTTGACAAGCTGAATCTGATGGCCTTGGGAGGTTTCCTGTATCAGCTGAAGAAAGCTTCCCAGTCCCAGCTTTTCCATTCAGTCACAGACACGGTTGATTACTCTTTGGCAATGCCAGGTAAATGTACTACACTGGAGGCATGAAAGCAGAAGGCAGCTTTTGTATATGTCTTGCACAATATTATTATTTAATTCATACTAATAGTTGCATTTTCTTTATTCTTGCAGGCGTAGTAAAATCTACCCAAGAGAAGAGAGGGGCACTCCATTTGTTCCGTCTAGGAGGTGCCATGCTAAGAATTGTAAGGAGTAAATCCCGCCCTCTACTGCATCTCATGCGCTGCTGGAATCTGGTGGCACCTCACCTGGTAGAGGTGAGAAAAATGGGGGCAGGGGAGCCCTGCTACTCTGTGGGTTGTATTGCCTTAAAATTGCAAAGAGCAACCCCAGTATGTGGATGAGTAGTTAAGATGTTTAAGGGGGTGGTGTACAAGTGAATTGTAGCACCATAAGAAAGATTACACTCTACTGATTGTCAAAATATCACAAAAAGCTAGACTTTCCCACTATCCTTTTTCCAGCTTACTAAGGCTAAGAACTAAGCTAACTCCTTTCCCTATACAGAACAGAATGTGTTCACTGGCCCTATGTGACAGCAGTTTGGGAAAGTTACAAGAGATTTGCTTTCTTCATCTCTTTATTCTCTAGATGAAAAAAAGACCATTGGGGAGCTTAACAAAGGGATTGAAGGGCATAACAGAGGTTTATAAAATTATGCATGGGGTTGGGGAAAGTGAAGAGAGAGCTTTTTCTTTCTTTTCCATAATACTAGCACTCATGGGCATCCAATATAGTTGATGGGCAAGACAGACAAAAGGAAATACTTCTTTACTCAATGAGTAGTTAAATTGTAGAATTCACTGCCAGTGGCTTTAGTGATGGTCTCGAGCATGTAAAGGGCAATTAGGCAGATTCATGGAGTACAATGACTCTCCTGGTCATCATTTTAAAGTTAGCCTCCATTTTGTGTTTTTTCTGAATATTTCCCAGCAATTCTTGTTGAAAAGAAATTATTGGTATGGCTGAAATTCTGCTTGTTGTTCCTGTCTTTGCAGGCCGCCTGCCATAAAGAAAGGCACGTATCTCGGAAGGCTGTCTCTTTCATACATGATATTCTGACTGAGGTTCTGACAGACTGGAATGAGCCTCCTCATTTCCACTTTAGTGAGGCCTTGTTCCGTCCCTTTGAGCGGATCATGCAGCTGGAACTCTGTGATGAGGATGTGCAGGACCAGGCAAGTTATGTCCTGGTTACGATGGTTATGATGATCCTGGAATCAAGTTTTAAAAGAACAGTGTTTTATTTTATTCCCCATGGTCACAACATATAACTGAAAAGATTCTCTGCAGGACTGTTTTGTACACTACATTTCTGTACAAGTGCAGAAAAGCCACCCTTGTATATTGTGAACAGAACACAGTGTTCTGAGGATCTCAGCTTTCAAGAGTGGCTTTAATGAGTTTGGGTAGGGTTACCAGATGTCCCCTTTTAGAGGACATGTCCTCTTTTATGGTGTCCATTTCGTTTGGGCTGTTTTTAAAAAAAACTGATGAAAATGTCCTCTCTTTGGGCTGGGAGGCTGAGCCTGTTTTGCCCTATAGTCCCCTAGTGGAGGCAAGCTTCAGCTTAAATAGTAGGGCTATTTAAAATGAGACTGGTCATACTGATCAGTTGTTTGAAGTAGTCAGTTGGGAAATATTTCCTTCTTTTTGCTTTTCAAAATATGGTAATCCTAGTTTAAGGAATCCCCGCTGAAATCTTTCCGAGTCAGGTGTTGCAACTTCAGTCTCTACATATCTAAAAACCTTGATTAGCCAGGGCAGAATAAGCAGGCTAATTAAAAATGTTACTGTCAACTTTAAAAGTCATTAACATTTGTCTGTTTTGTACGTGAAACAATTTTCAGGTGGTAGCAATGTTGCTGTACATTAGAAGAACAAGATTCAAACCCAGTAACACCTTAGATTTTTTTTAACCATAATAATTTATTAGGTTAAAGGAGCTTTGACTCTCAAAGGCTTAGATGAAGGAGCTTTGACTCTCAAAGGCTTATACTCCCCAAAATCTTGTTGGTCTTCAAGGTGCTACTGGACTCAAATCTGGCTGTATATAAAACAGTGTATTTCTTCCACAGGGACTCCTGTTTGTTGACTGATCCCTGTCATGCTTTCTGTGTTCTGTACCAGGTGATCACCTCAATAGGAGAGCTAGTGGAGGTCTGCTCGACTCGGATCCAGTCAGGCTGGAGGCCCTTGTTTAGTGCACTAGAGACCGTGCATAGCAGCAGCAAGTCAGAAGTGAAGGAATACCTTGTGGGAGAATATTCCATGGGTAAGGTTTTTCTGGATACTTTCCACCCCTGTGTCAGATAGTGGCATTTTTAAACAAAGAATGTGTTTTTGAAAAGCTACAACAATCTATTTGTTTATTACATTTTTATCCTACCCTTTCCCTAAGGAGCTTAGATGACATATGTGATTCTTTGTTCCTAATTTCACCTTCACAATAGCCCTGTGAAGTAGCTTAAGCTGTGAGTGAGAGTGGCCAAATGTCACCCAGCTTTCATGTCTGAATGGGGATTTGCACCCAGCTCTCCCCAGTTCTAATGCAACATTCTAACCACCACAGCACACCAACACAGTGTTCAAAATACCACTCCCAGGCCAGTGTGAGGTTCTGAATCACAACAGAGTTCTGGGGTGGAGGGAAAGAAATAGTAACGTTTCCACCACAAGATTAAAAACTCCAATGCCATTCACACGTTTCGGCTTTTGTTCTGTAAAACTGGCATGACTTTTTATTGGCTCCAATTTTCCACATAATGTTAATGTGAATTGTAAAATATCTAAGATGATCTCGCATAAAATAAAGTAAATTCTAAATCACAAGTCACTACATTTAGGAGTTCTGCTAGACGGCAGCAGCCCAGTTATCAGTGTAGTGAACAAGTAAAGCCAGGAGTATGAAACTTCCACATACTTCTCAGGTGTGTATGTATCAGCCCACAATCTCTTCACCCCAATTTATAATTTCTGAAATCGAGGGATTAATGATCTTGATACAAAGCACTTCGTAAGTAAATAAATAATAAATGCAAGCTACTGTTGTGAGCATGGTATAAAAATGTTTTTTTAAAAAATAACCAAGGACCGATATTAAATTGGTAGAGGGCAGAACTTTGAATTAGCTTTTTCTGTAGTCAGTGACATCATCCTATAGCCAGATCCAATTGGCTTCATCTCCATGATGCTGTTACCTGGAATAAGCAGGGCCGTTTCTAAACAAATAATGGCATAAATTCTGTCGCTGCAAACAACAGTGAATTCTCTTTCTCCTCCAATGCCATCTCTTCCTCTCAACCTTTATCCAGCTGTAGTGGTGTTTCTCCCCTTATCCTCATTCCACTACTTCCTCCTCCTCAGCTGCTACTGCTGGCATACACTGCAGCATTGTTCACTGAGTTGCTAGGCCAAACGATATTTTTAAAGAATTTATATGTATTAAATATTTTTAAGCCACCTTTCCACCCAGTCAGGGGTCCGCAAGGCAGCCAATTAATTTAAACAATTAAGATACAGTGAAAAATATAAAAATCAGGTAAAAGCACATAAACACATAAAACTATTTAAAAGGTAAGAGCTTATGAGGTAGTATCATGAAATACAGGTTTTTTTCATTTGGGTGGTTACAGTCTCCATCACTATTTTTTTTAAAAAAATCTGCCAACGTGAGGGATCTCCCAAGATAGTAGAAAAATCCTCTCTAGCTGTATACGCTCCATTGTTCAGCTTTTTTGATCTGCACTCCGGAGCAATTTTCAGAATTAGAGATAAAGAAATATTTCTAGAAGGGTAATGTATAACTTAAAGTTTTAATGTGCATTTATATTAGTGACTCATGTTTTCATGTATCTTCAGGAAAATGCCAAGCTCCTGTGTTTGATGTCTTCGAAGCCTTTCTAAATACAGACAATATACAGGTCTTTGCCAATGCGGCCACCAGCTATATCATGTGCCTTATGAAATTTGTCAAAGGATTGGGTAAGGCTTCCCTCTATCCCGCTTGACAAAATAAGTCCAAACTTTCCATATTCCTGGGGGGGGGTTTAAAGTCGGGTCGCCAGGTCCCTTTCAACTGCCGGCGGGAGCTGGCAGGAACGGTTCAGGAGTGGGAAGTGACGTCACCCCCTCATTACTTCCCGAAACAGTGACGTCACACACAATGTGCCTGTGTCACCCAGATGTTATGTCGGGGGCGACACTCTGGATTTTGGGCAAAACTCTATGGTGAAGGCATAAAACCATAGAGTTTTGCACAAAATCTAGCCCCCCGCCCAATGTTGCCGACATGCCAACGTTACCTCCAGGCAACACAGGCATCGCTGTTTGGGGAGGGATTCCCTCCTGCCAGCCAGCTGGCCGGTGGCAGGCAGGAGCCCACAAAATTGGGGAATCACTCACCCCCAGTGGTCAAATGGCAGCTTTAGGTGAAGGGTAAAAATATCTTTATTGTGGGGTTTGACAATTGCAGAGGCAGATGGAAAGTGTGCTTCCAAGCAATAACAGCCAAAATCAAGGAATACTCTAGAAAGGAACACTGCAAATTTTATATAAGCATTGCATGCTCAGTGTTGAGACAACAAAAGTGTGCCCATGTGGAACAATTTCAGTATTCTGGTACTCCCCCAAACATTCACACATTTCAAGACTGTTGGTGCACTTCTCGCTTTGTTGTGTTTTTCAACTTGAGTCTTTAT